GAAGGGGGAGGGGCTATCAGACTCCGATTATGAATGACAGAATAACCTTATATAATTCATACTCTGCATGGTTGAGTACATAGTGCATAAGTACATAGTGTATAAGTGCATAGTGTAGTGCATCATTTGGGACGCAGCTAACGTATCCGCGTGACGCAGCTGACACAGAACAGCATACGCTGTTTACGTTCAGTGGATACATAATGAGGAGACGAATTGTTGAATAAAGTCGTTTTTTTTTTTCTTTTTTTTTGCACACAAAAAGTATTCTCGTAGCTTCGTAAAATTATGGTTGAACCACTGATGTCACATGGATTATTTTACCGATGTCCTTGCAACGTTTGTGGACCTTGATCGTGTTAAGATCCTTGCTGTCTATGGGAGGGTCAGGGAGCTCACGGGATGCATCAAAAATATCTTAATTTGTGTTCCGAAGATGAACGGAGGTCTTATGGGTTTGGAACGACATGAGGGCGAGTAATTAATGACAGCATTTTCATTTTTGGGTGAACTAACCCTTTAACAACTACCTTACTAACTATTAATAAGCAGCAAATTAGGAGTTTATTGAGGCAAAAGTCATAGTTAATGATTTGGTCATAGCGAGAATTGGACCTTAAAATAAAGTGTGATCAAAGTGTCATATGTTTGCAACGCCATGGGGACGAGTAAATGATGACCAATTTTTATTTCAAGTGAACTGTCCTTTTAAGGGGAAATCAGTAGGTCGAACTACTGTATGTTTTATTTCAGGTCACCTCAGCTTTCAGCAATTACTCAGGTGTTTTTCCATACCACATTGTCTTTCCCCTGCAGCAGCTGTGCATTGTGGGAGACATCTGGCTGGATGCTCCAGACTCCTGTCTAATATGACCTCTCCGGCTCCCAATCGTCCCCACCCACAGCAGCAACTCTGATTACGTAATTGCCTGCTTGCCTTTTCTTCCTTTACTTTTTTTTTTTTACTTTTTAGTCATTTAGCAGACGCTTTTATCCAAAGCAACTTACAAATAAGAAAAAGTAATTAAAACTAAAAGCTAAAACTCTATAAATACTATATATATACACACAAATTAATGACAGAATTTTCATTTTTGGGTGAACTAACCCTTTAACAACTACCTTACTAACTATTAATAAGCAGCAAATTAGGAGTTTATTGAGGCAAAAGTCATAGTTAATGATTTGGTCATAGCGAGAATTGGACCTTAAAATAAAGTGTGATCAAAGTGTCATATGTTTGCAACGCCATGGGGACGAGTAAATGATGACCAATTTTTATTTCAAGTGAACTGTCCTTTTAAGGGGAAATCAGTAGGTCGAACTACTGTATGTTTTATTTCAGGTCACCTCAGCTTTCAGCAATTACTCAGGTGTTTTTCCATACCACATTGTCTTTCCCCTGCAGCAGCTGTGCATTGTGGGAGACATCTGGCTGGATGCTCCAGACTCCTGTCTAATATGACCTCTCCGGCTCCCAATCGTCCCCACCCACAGCAGCAACTCTGATTACGTAATTGCCTGCTTGCCTTTTCTTCCTTTACTTTTTTTTTTTTACTTTTTAGTCATTTAGCAGACGCTTTTATCCAAAGCGACTTACAAATAAGAAAAAGTAATTAAAACTAAAAGCTAAAACTCTATAAATACTATATATATACACACATTTAAGAAAATAAAAGACATTAAATAAAAATGACAAATGCATACAACAACAAAAACTAAAATAGATAACTAATACAAATCAAAGTACATTAGTTCATCAGTAATCCTAAAAAAATAACACTGAGGCAAACACACATGCTAAAATAACAACAACTTACTGACACATAGTAAGAAATAGTTTATAAAAAAAACTGAATATCCTCTCATTCAAATTCTCACTCTCCTCCTTTCATCTCTCTCGCTTTCATTATCTCTCTGTCCTTCCCATTCTCCTCCTGAATGTATGATTGCAGTGTATCATTTGTCTCACAGGGTTGACTTTCCAGCGACGTATCACACCACCCCTGTCCAACAATACACTCCTGAATCATCTACTGCTACTGTGACCATCTGGTCCTGTTTCAATTAGCCCTGATCCTTAGAGAGAACTCTGAATGAAATATACTGGCTAAAAAAACAAAAGCCAAGCAAAAAACAACCTTATTGATTATATGAAGAATATTTGAAAAGATCAGATCAATATGTTTATATCCAAACTATCATACAGTATATGCTACCCCTTTTCTTTTTTTCCTGTTTGGTGAGTAAATCAGAGGCTTAGAAATGATCAAATGTATGTGTGGATGGGATTATAAATCTTATCAGCATTGACTCATGAATATTAATTAGGTGATGTAATGTTCATCTAGTAGTCAAAACAGATTTTTTTGAAAAGCAGGACACTTGCCAAATTATGATTACCACATACTGATTCACTCAACTGCTGATATAACCAGTTGGGAGAAGCTGCACTATAACTCAACTCAAAAAATCGGCATCAGCATCTGTCAGCATTTCTAAGCCATCCAAGACAACTACATCTGTGTCTCTGGCTGAGGTAATCAAAATTATTCAGACCAGCCTATCAAATGCGTTTCTAAGCCATTTCTTGAATCAAAATGCATCGCTGCATTTCGCACCACTAAAGCAACATCATCAGTCTTTCCCTCAGGTTTTCAAACCAAGCGCGTTCTGATTCATTTATACATCAAGGTAAAATCATTTTACTTCAGTTTCATCAACTTGACAGCGGTGAAACGGCGGTTTCCTCGGTTCGTACACACAAGCACTGTTTGAATGGGACTAGTTACTCTGAGAAGATCCAAAAAGACAGGTGTGTTCTTCCTCACAATCTCAAATTACGAAGCAATTACGAAAAAAAATTACAGAGCAAATTACCTCAGAGATCCTTTGAGAAATCGAATCCCTTCCGGATAGGAATGTTTGTGCTTGTAGTAAATAATTTTTTCTACTTCACTGCTTCTCATTTGTTTCAAACACCATCAAATATTGTAAATAGGGCTACATTTGTGGGACTGGAGGGATGGCAGGGTAGGCTGTGCTGGGGAAGCTAGCGTTTGACATCACACACTCATTTTGTGACATTTAAAGGGTACAAAAGGGATACTCACGAAATCCTGTAGAGCGGAGAGGTGAGGCAGACAAAATGGAGAGAAAAAGACAGACAGAAAGCTTAGATAACAGCCATGTTTGAAGAAAGTGTGTGGTCAGCGTGTACTTGTCAGCTGAGTCAGTTTGACAGTAAATGTCACTAAATTAATGTGTGTTAGTGGTGAGACTCCTGTTGTGCCATCTGTACTTGAGGTCAATATAGGCGTCTAACTTCAGTGTGTGTTAGTGTGTGTGTCTGTGTGTGATGAAGTGAGTACTCACGCCTGCATGGTCGTTGTAGCAGTCTGAAAGCTGAACATGTTTTCTTTAGGGAACCAACTGTTATCTTCTGGTTAGAAACAGGCATAAGAGACCACATTAGTACAGTTGAAATGATGTATCTGAATATATGAATTGCATAAAACTGAACAAACATGTACAGCGGCCCCAAAAAGTACTTAGACACGTAAGCCACATTAAAAAATGCAGGAGTTTCATTGCAATAGACAACACGATATCAAACCAAAACAGCACTCAAATGATGCTAGATTTACTATTCTTAGCAATCTTTGCAATTACTTTTAACTATATAATAATAATACACATATATACATAGGCCTATATACATACATACACACACATACATACATACCAACACACATATTGTATTAACAAATGTATAGCATGAAAAGTGACCTGTGCAATTTTAATAAAAATAAATGGCACTTGGTTGATCATCTATCATCTAATGACACATCTATATTTTTAAATGAATGTTTGGATTCAAAACAAGTTAAGCTCAATTGCAAGTATTTGTTTAAAGTCGATTACTACAGAAAATCATGTTGGCTCGTCCCTTAATTTTTCCTTTTGTTGTTGTTGTTTTAAAGAAAGCAAAAAACATGGTAAAACGAAGCACATGGCGCATGGCGGTAGCAACACCAAGGTCATGGGTTTGATTCCCAAGGTATGCATGAACTGACACAAATGTATACCTTAAATGCAATAGATATTGGATGCAATTGGGAAAAAAGTGTCTGCCATATGCATTTCAGTGCTCAATTTACTCTCAGCAAGTGCCTCACTATAACCACAATTTCTGCTTGTTTTTAAAGAAAAATGCCCAAATGCTGTTGATTGAGCTTTACTTTTGAACCTGAAACATTCCATTAAGAGTAGTCTAAGCATCCAAATACTTTCTGGGGCCACTGTGTGAAGATCCACCAGCAACAACATACACACATGGTCCACTCCACAGAGGGAGAGAGCACAAAAGAGACACACAGGAGAGAGGAGAGAGACACAGGAGAGCGGGAAAAATACAGACCACGGCACATCGAACACATCGACGCCCCTGTTGTTGGCTGAACCCCACCCCTTCCCCTTGGCCAGAGCCTCTCTCTCTCTTTCTCTCCCCTGTCGCTCTCCCCCTCTCACCTCGCTCCAGCCCAGTCATGCGGTCCACACTGCACATCCGCTCTAGTGGTGGCCGGCGCTGCTTGCCTGCCTCTCGGGTGCTGCTTTCCAGGTCCAGGGAGCCCTGGCTGCGCGAGGGAGCCCCGGCACAGGCCTCGCATGCCAGGCCGCATTCCTTTCCCTCCCCCCAGCCGCGGATGTTGTGCGCGCTGACCGAGCTCTGCAGCGGCTGGGAAAGGTGGTGTTGGTGATGGGGCTCCCCGTGGTGATGGTGCGACGTTCCCTCGCCAGAGATGTGCTGGTGGGGGGTTGATCCACTAGTTCCGCTGCTTCCACCTCCGCTGGGGTTGCTGTGATGGTGGTTGCCGTGATGATGGTTTCCGGATCCACTTCCACTTCCATGGTGGCGGTGGTGGTGTTGGGTCGGAGAAGAGTTGGAGGATGTAGAGGGCTGACATGCCTCCTGCGTCCCTTTCAAGACCTCGAGCTCCAGGTTCTCCTTGCTTCCCCGGCTGGTTCCCAGCATGCCGCTCTCTCCAGTGATGGTGTAGACCTGAGCAGGCTGCAGGGCGCACTCCACACACTTCCGCTGGTCCTCCTCTGCCGAAAAGC